TTATTTTTTTTATTTCCTTCGGCCGGAACAGATTAATCACATTTCCGAAGGGTCTTGCACAGTTTGTTTGCTTTTCTCCCCCCCTCCCCCTTGGCCGGATTAATTGCGTTTCTGATGGGTCTTGCAGTGTTTGTTTGTGGGGGAGTTTTTGGTGATTTTTTTCCTTCGGTCGGAATATACTAATTGCATTTCAATGCACTCCTATGGGAAATGGTGCTTCAACTTACGACCATTTTGAGTTACAACCGGAGTTCCGGAACTAATTAAGTTTGTAAGGTATATTGATTAGTGGGGTTTTGATACAGTATGGTGCTAAGATACCCATGTTGTAGCTTCACAGTGGTGTCTAGAAATGCACCTGCTGTGTAGATTGGTCTAGGCTGAAGCTGATGTTTGGATGAAAGTTATTGAAATCCCAGAGGAATTTCTCTAGGGCATTTTTTCCCTGGGTCCAATTTTTTTTTAAAAAAAAGTTATCAATGTACCTCAAATAGAGGAGTGCTTTGGGGGGAACAATAGTTAAGAAAGCATTGTTCTAGGTCAGCTATGAATATTATCGTACATTGTGGGTGACCTGGCTGTATCCCTTAAGACTGGGGATATGATTCAGTCAAGGAGCCCTTAAAATGACTATACACAACACCACAAAATGGTCAGGAAGCAGTTGTCTCATAAAACACTTGCATGACGGAGGTAATTACATCTGTAGGGTGTGCATCCTAGGTGGATGCCCCTTTTAATTCTGTTGAGCTGGCCTTGCTTGCCTGGGTTAGTAAAGAGCTAGTTTTCACTGTTTTCTTATTGAATGGGTAACTTCATTAATTATTATTTAGCACATAGTTACTATAGCTCACTAGAAGAGGACAGTCTAATGACATGACCCTACTTGCTCACAAACCACAGCAGATACTCACACAATTTAGCAAGCACATGTGTCAAAGGGAAAATATCAGGTAGTCAAAGAGCCAATGGAAAATAAAGGAGCTCTTTTTATTTTATATTTTCATATTTCATAGCATATAGATTCAGAGTGAGTTTAGTCTACTGGATAAAAGTATTAGACTAGGACTCAGGAGCCTTTAGTACAAATCCACAATTGGCCATGGAAGCTTGGGGTAGTGGTGGTAAAAGCTCACAGTGGTAAAAGGACTCAAATAATCTCACATAATTCAGAAACCCCACTATGGCTGCTATAAAGTGAAATTGACTTGACAGCATATAGCATCAGATTCATATAGTAGATGACAACGTTATTTCTCATTCCACTCGGAAGTACCTATTATTATGCATGGCTACTTTTCACAACACAAAAAGATTCAATATTTGTTCTTAAAAGTGTTAATTGCTCATAATTCCTAAGGTGCAAATACTATGCACACTTTCAAGAGGGTAAGACTACTTAAAAACATTTTCTCTACAAGTGTATTAAAATTTTCATCACCTTTTAAGGCATGGAAATGATTGCCTGGGACAAGAGAGAAGAGATGCGTGTTTCTGAACAGCAGCACAGAAGCACCATGCTGCCAAAGGTTGAATTACTACTGATGATGCTGACTAGGGGATTCTAATCAAAACAGTAACTTTATCAAGCTCTTCATAAGACAATCTGTATGTCCTACAAATATGTCACCCTACACATCTTTTAAAGGTGCAAGGGCCCTGCTGTGCTCCTTTGCCTTGAATCAGTCGGTGCAATGTGTCAGATTCCCTGCACAAGCCAGCAGTTTGAATGCCACATGGGCAGACATGGGAAATATTTGGTTCTTGGACTATAACTCATAGACTCCCGTAGCCAGCAAGTGGGCATGTGATTTCTGGGAACTGCAGTAAAAAATAAATAAATACATAAACATTTCCCATCTTTGCATATGGGGCACAAGAAGTTCTGCTGAAGACCAACAAAGTTTGGGGGACTATTATTTTACTTTACACTGGTGAATAAAAAAAGGGGGGGGAGAAATGCAATTCCCCAGGGTAAACTGAGATGTGAACAGAAAGCAACTGACATGTAAAGTGTGATAGTTAATAAACCAACAAAAATGACTTATTTTCTTCACGTGCAGCAGCAGTCATTTAAGAGGTTACCTGTGATACTGTTTGCCCTGGAAACATCCTGAGGCTGGGTGGAGCGGTTTCGACTCTGGTCCCTGCGCCTGCTGGAGGCTGATCTAGCCGTTCGAACGTGAACCTCACTCACTTTGAAAAAAGCCACCATGAAAGGCTGTTTGTCATGAGGGCCATCTCGACCTATTAGTCCTGCTTCTCTAGGGTTTATACTGAGACCTATAAATTAAACCGAAAAAAGTGGCATGTCATATAAAGACGTCAGTGTTTCTGAATAGCTCTTTTGAGCAACACAGCTGCTTTCCTATAAGTAAGATTCTGCTCCCTCTGTTTCATTCCTCCCCCCCTCCTCTATAGTTCTATAGAATATTCTAATTCAGTGAAAGCTCAAAAGCTTTGCTTTATTAAAGTTTCAAGTGCCATGTATCCACGTGCTCCTAAGAGGTTGACTGGTAGGCAAATTAGTAGGAAGAGAATGGGTAATAAGACGGGCAATGTCCGGTCATCAGCACATGCTCCTACAGTATAAGGAACACACAATTTAGTGAGCCATATAAATATTGCAGATTGATTAAAGAGGCATCATTTCTTTTATTTCACACACTTCCCCTCATCTTAAATAGTTTATCCTGCAATGTTCACTACCTCACATAATTTACTCTAGATTCTTCTAGCAAAGAGGGTGGGCAACATGTGTACTTTTCAAACACTGGGACTTAGAAAAATCACTGATGAAGTAGATTATATTGGAGTAGATAAATCAGTGATCTAATTTTGTGTAAGACCACTTCATGTGTTTTGTCCCTATCAGGCAAAACTGCCACCCATTTTAGTTGATGGATAGGGCTGTTACTTTGGCAGATGTTCTGATAAGCTCTGTATCTCCAGTGCCCCCACCGAAAGAGCTAGAATCTGCTATAAAATAGGAAAAACATGCTATGAAAACTCCTGACCCAGCACAAGTTCATTTAACACAGCTGCATCAGGAACAGAGGCTGAAGCACTGATGCAACGTTGATCGTTGCAGCACTGGATCAGCCCTGGCAGCCCAAGGAGATAGATGACAGAGCCATATGCCTGCTGACAGTCCAGAGATACACAAAAACTAAGCTGAGACTGCAACACAAATTGGGAAGGAGCTAACATCTTTCTGAAAAGAGAATTTCACAGCTCCATACACAGAGATATTTCATTAAAACACACACACACACACACACGCACACACTTGCAGTGAGAACCTTGACAAATACACATAATTCCAAAGTCATGCATTGCCAACATTCTACCGCCCAAAATGCAGGATAATCTGCAAAGAGGCAGCAGCTTTCAATCTGTTGTGCGCCTGGATCTAGAGCTCAACTATCACATCACAGCTGTGTGTTTGGCTACATTAGCCAGATCATCACACCACAGCTGAATGCTGTAAACAGAGCTTCCAATTAATGACTAGGTCATTGGCCAGATGTTTAAAGTATGTTGGCCTGTTACCTACCGTCCCTGGTCACAACGCTCATCTGGAGTCCTAAATTATTCTGGGGGTTTATCACCCACATGTTACTGGTGGCAGTGATGTCAAACTCCAGCCAGCCTTCTTCTGAGGCCCATACAGCTCTAGTATCCAGCATAAACAGCTCTGAATCTCTACAAGAGAAAAACAGATTTTTTTAAAAAAAGCAACTGCACTATTATTGTGGTCCAAATTTCCTGTTTGCTTTCATAATACTATTAGGAGACAATGTTAAAAATACCTATTACCTGTCACTGCAATTTCATCATGGCCTTATAACATGGGTGGAAACTTCTCTATGCGTGTATGATATAAAATCTTATTTATATTTGCAAAAACACATTTGGCCCAAGCCATGTGTGTTGTAAGCCACCTAGAGTGGTCAAAATGACCAGATAGGCGGGGTATAAATGGAATGGATAGATAGATAGATAAAATAGATAAAATAGATGGATGGATGGATGGATGGATGGATGGATGGATGGATGGATGGATGGATGGATGGATGGATGGATGGATGGATAGACGGACAGACAGACAGACAGACAGACAGACAGACAGACAGACAGACAGACAGACAGACAGACAGACAGATAGATAAAATAATGTGAGCACAAGCTGAACTTCAACTGTTTAACTGTGCAAGATTGAGCTTTGAATAGACAGAGAGTGCTGTAGTAAATTCCAAAGTGCAGTGTTCATCATGATAGCCCCATAGTCACACAAAGTCTGAAAATGCAGCAGTTCTGTCTATCTTTATCAGGAAATCAGTTGTCACAGCTTTTGCCTCCACTATGAGAGCATCTTTTGTGAAGCTAATGGGTATTCATTGCTAATTCAATCAAGACCAAGCTATCTCAAAGCAGTTTTCATTATATTTAGGTTTAGTTTGTTTGCAAGATCAACCTAAGCCGATAATTCAGTGGCCATGACTGTTCAGATTTAAGTCCCAAACTCATGATCTCCTTAATAACACAAATCTGTATTAAACATACTGTACTAAGAAACTAAGCCCAAATCCTCTTCTGGAAGAGAGATTTATATTGGAAAACTCTGGTGTGGGGACAGGGTTAGTGTTCCCTGCCTGCAGCCTCTGTGCTTCAACTGACCAGGGCCTAAGCCACTGATCTTCTTGTGGGACCTGAAAGGTGTGTTTTGATAAAAAGCTGGGGATCCACTCTGTGCTTCAACTGACCAGGGCCTAAGCCACTGATCTTCTTGTGGGACCTGAAAGGTGTGTTTTGAGAAAAAGCATATTTGGGGATCCAGAGTAGCATATACAGTATTGGATCGAGACTTATGAGAGTCTGGTTCAAGTCCTTAATGAACCCAGATATTCACTGTGAGACTTTGGGCTGGTCATTCAAGGATAAGGACGAAGTGGGAAAGAAAAGAGCCATGTACCCTACTTCAAGGAAAAACAAGATATGAATGTAAGTAACTTATCAATACATTTGAAACTGGGGGGGGGGAGCAGAAACTGATGCACAATGCAATCTGGAGAATGGGAGAGGGACACAAAAAAGGGGCTATGTTCAATTTTGTTTGAACCAATTACTGGCATAAGCAGGAAAACTGGGACATCATGTGTGTGGAGGTTATCTCCTAGTCTTCAAAGAACCCATTAGCAGTAGCATTGAAACTGCTAATGGTGTGTGTGTGTGTGTGTGTGTGTGTGTGTTAGTTTGCTGTGGTCCACAGCACGATAATTGTTTATGTTTGTGGTGTGTGTGTGTGTGTGTGTGTGTGTGTGTGTGTGTGTGTGTGTGTGTGTGTGTGTGTGTGTGTGTGTGTGTGTGTGTCTGTACGAGACAGGGTTCTTCAACAGAAGAACATGGAATTTAACGCTGCATCAGAGTCCACATTATCATGTACTGTAAACAACAGATTTCTAGGCAGAATTCAGTGATGTGAGGTCATATTTTGAATGCTTCCCTATAGTAACAAAACAAAAACACAAAACCTCCCTGCATGTAGTAAATGGGCACAATGGGCCAAAATCCCCCCACTCTGACCGGTTTACTATATGCAGAGAACTATTTTTGTTCTCTGTACACAAATCCTGCAACTTTGCAATATAGGAATCCCACACATTTACTCTGAAGCAATATAGTCCAGCATTCTCAAACTGCAATCTGCCACTGCATGTTGTACAATATGTGAGTTAGTTTGATATAACTATACAAAGAATGAAATGGAGGCAAAGTGATAAAATGCAGTGAATTGATTCAATGGATTATATCAGAAGGGGGGGAGGAATGTCATGTGTTTGCATACTCTCAAAGTAATAAATGAATAACATTTAAGCAGAACATTAGCACACCAGAAGAAGGAAATGGTCTAATATACTCATTTTCTTGCATACTTTTTTTCAAGCTCAGGGAAGCTCTCATCCAGTGAACCCATATGCTATATCTACCTATAGACTGGGATAATTTCTTGTCCAAAACAAAAAAGGGTGTCTTGCTACATTGAGATACTCTACTGAAAAAAAGGCAACCACTGCAAGTTTTTTTTTTTTTTTGCTTTTACACAAAATCAAAAAGAACAGCAACTTTGTTACAGAAATACATTTGCAGAAACTATTTTTATGTGTGAAAACCTTGAATTTTGCTCTTAAAACCTTGCATTTTGCACCAAATCAAGTTTTCTACACAAAACACATTTGCACACATTTTTCACACAAACTGCCACAATGCAAAACATTCACAAAACTCTTTGAAATCATGCCCAACACGTTTGAAATAAATGAAAATTTACTCTCCTATTAATATAGCCCACTGCATCACCTCAGCATTTTGGCACTTCTTATCACTGTATATGTAGACCACACCTTGATAACACTCAGACTGTAACACCTTCGCAGGGACTCCAGGTAGCAAGGAGAAACACAATATTGAAGTTACTGCAATATCACTGGTTGGGGTCTAGTGGAGGTTGGTCTGCTGATGCAACTTCTTCCATCAGTGGGACCAGGAGTAAGGCATTCCCCCTCTCCTTTGCAGCCCCCCATCCCCGAGCCTGATGCAGAGTCAGGAATTCCTACCAAAATTTTCTAACTATACAGAGAGCTGCTGGGAGGAGAGGAGGAAAGTCTGGTTATATTAGCCCATAAATGTGGTGCCCAAAACTGAAACTGAACAACTCTTCTGGAGTGAATTGCCACTTTTGTATCTGAATATTCAATATACTGAAGTCAAACTCTCCATGTAAACACCCAGTTTGTGGGGACACTCCCGGAGTGAAGTTCTGTTCAGGATGACAAGAAGTGGAGCAGAGATCTTCACCAACTTCCCCTTCCTCTGTGACCACCAGTGCCATCTTGTATGCTGTTTGGAAGCATCCCCTGACTTTTCGAGGGGGCACGGGAGAGTACTGAGAGAGAAAGAATCACAAGAGGATGCATGGATCCTACAAAAATGGGCAAAGGCTGCTTCATTGTCTGTTACCTCAGCAGAAATGGACAAGCCAACCCAAGACACCAGGTTTAATCAGCAAACACTGTTCCTGTGTATACCTCATTCAGAAATGGAAAAAAGATAAGGAACCAGGGGAGTGCATGGGTTGAAGTGTAGGATTGTGACACAGGGGATGATGATTTCACTCCCCACAAAGCCATAAAACTCACAGGGCAACTATGGGGCAGTTTCTTTTTCTTGCTCTCTTTCAACATAAACAACCTCACATTCTTGTTCATTTGTTTAGGATTGAAAATCAGACAGATGATTAAATTTGAATTTTTAAATATTGATGAGAAATCCCTTATTGCCTCATCTTCCCATAGCAACTTCAAACGATCTTCACGCTCCACCACTGAAACCACAAGAGCAGCTGCTGTTTATTTATGAAAAGATTAAATGCTTTGGCTTCTCAGGTCACAGATGTAGATATACAATCTCCCCGTTGGCTCCAAACAGCAAGTAAGGTCCTCGAGAGTAAGTGCACAATTCTTAAGAATATTAGCAGGAGCTCCACCCTCCCAATTCAGATGATACGCATGTTCTCTAAGCTGTTCTCAAAGCAGCAACCACAGTCCCACAGGGACTTACACCTGTTTGTCCATAATACTGTTTAATACTGAGCAACTGCACCTACTCTGAATTATGGAGTTGTTTTTTAAAACAGTTGACAGAATACTCTTCTTTGTATGCCTGATTTCTGTTTCTTTTTATAACTTTGCTTAACTTTTCTGCATCACCTTCTAGACAGAACAAATAGCCCTCCTGCAGAGCAGATGAAAACACCCTCCTTCACATCAGTATTTCAAGAGGGTTGTATGAAATTATGTTTCAGAGACAAAGTGCTCCTTTGCTTGTAAGGAGCTCTATATTCAGGAGGAAAGCCCACTGGAACTCTGAAGTACATTGACTACATGAACATTGTGGGCATGTGAGAACAAACAATGGCTGATCTGCCTATTTTGTCTACTGTACACATTAATGTCCACCAGACTACATATTCTTTAATACAAGCAGGCAACTTATTGTACTCAGTTAAGTGGTTGGGCTGCAGCTCCAACCGGCATAGCTAGCAGGGCCAATCGTGAAGGACGAAAACATCTGAACACCGACAACTGTCCACTCTTGCACTACAGAAATTGTACTGCCAATGGGTATTGTAGTGAATGTAGGAAGAACTCTCGGCACTGAACTTATCACTGACAGTGAAGCTCCCCAGACCTTCCTCAACATATCTGATGTCTGAATCAATGGACAGCATGGTACCCTCCCTTGCTCCATGTACAAAAGATAACTCGTTTGCCTGCCTGCCTGTTTGGCTTTTATACCAGCCATCTGGCTGCCAAGGCCACTTTTATTTCAACGGTGATGATGCGACAGTCTCTCCCATGATACTGGAGAGCAGTGGGCTAGTTTACGGGGACCAGATCTGGATACACATTATTCTGTCGTCCTGCACCTGGTCACTGCTCATTAATATTTTTTTGCTTGAGATAGCTGCCTCACTCTGCTGGCCCTGCCTCCCTCTGATGCTTGTCTCAGTAGAGACCCAGGACAGTTTCACTGCTGGGAAGAGAAGCTTATGAATTAAAGAACATCAAAATATGTACAAAAATATTAATTAGAGGTCTTCAATCTTAGTCTAAAATTTTAACCACAAAGCCACATTTGCTCTA